TGAACTTGAACTATGTTTTAGACCAAACAAATATACAGAACATCCCATCCAACAGCAGCAGAATACACATTCTTCTCAAGTACACAAGAAACATTCACCCAGATAGATATGTTAGGACACAAAACATGTCTTAAATTTAAGATTGAAATCATATTAAGTATCTTCTCTGACCACAACGGAATAAAATTAGAAATCAATTATAGGAGGAACTCAGAAAATTCACAAATATGTGGAAATTAAACAACATGCTCCTAAAGAACCAATGGGTCAAAGAAGAAATTAAAAGAAAATTTTTTTAAATCTTGAGACAAATAGAAACAGAAACACAGCATACCAAAACTTATGAGATGCAGCAAAGTCAATTTTAAGAGGGAAGGTTAATAGCAATAAATACCTGTATCAAAATGAAGAAAGATCCCAAATAAACCACCTAACCTCAAGGAACTATAAATAGAAAAACAAACTAAACTCAAAGTTAGTAGAAAAGAAAATTATAAAACGCAGAGCAGAAACAGGCTGCTGGTTTTCTCAGTTGGTTAGAGTGCAGCCTTGTAACACCAAAGTCAAGGTCAGACCACCATACTGGCCAGTGCCAAATAAAAACAAAAAACAAAAACCAAAAACAAAACCCCAAAATAGAGACTAGGAAGACAATTGAAAAGATAAATGAAATCCACAGATCTTTAGCTAAACTAAGAAAAAAAAGAGAAAGAGGAGACATTACAACTAACACCACAGAAATAAAAAGGATAAGAGACTACTATGAACAACTATACACTAATATATTAAATAACTTAGAAGAAATGAATAAATTCCTAGACACATATGTCTACCAAACTGAATCATAAACAAACAGAAAATCTGAACAGACCAAAAACAACTAAAGAGTTTAAGTCAGTAACAAAAAGTCTACCATCAAAGAAAAGCCCAGGACATGATGGTTTCACTTCTGAATTCTAACAAACATTTAAAGAACTAATACCAAGTCTTTTAAAACTCTTCCAAAAAAACTGAAGAGAAGGGAAAACTTTCAAACTCATTTTATGAGGCCAGCATTACACTGACACCAAAGCTAGACAAGGACACTAAAAGAAGTTAAAATTACAGGTGAATATCTACTGAACAATGCAAAAATCCTAAACAAAACACTAGCAACCAAATTCAACAGCACATTAAAAGGATCATACACAACAATCAGGTGGAATTTATCTCTGGAATACAAGGATGGTTCAACAAACGCAAATCAAATACGATATGCTACTTTATTATTTTTTTTTTTTTGTCTTTTTGTCTTTTTTCGTGACCGGCAACGGATCGCAACCCTCAGTGTTGCGCTCATACCGGACCGGGACTGGCTAAGGGATCACAACCCTCGGTGCTGCCCCCGCTCCTCGCTCAGCCAGTGAGCGGCCGGTCTGTATGTGGATCCGAACCCTCGGCGGGAGCGTCGCTGCACTTCCCAAGCGGCGCACTGAAGCAGTGCGCCACTGGGCCAGCCCATGATATGCTACTTTAACAGAATGAATAACAAAAACCATATGAACATAGTACTGGAAGTCCTAGGCAGAGCAATTAAGCAAGAGATAGAAATAAAAGGCATCCAAATCAGAAAGAAAGAAATTAAATTGTCTCTGTTTGCAGACAATGTGATTTTATACACAGAAAATCTTACAGACTACACCAAAAAAACCCATGTTAGAACTAATAAATGAATTCACTAAAGTTGCAGAATACAAAATCAACACATAAAAACCAGTAGCAGATCTATATACTAACAATGAACTATTTGAAAAAGAAATCAAGAGAATAATCCCATTTACAATAGCTTAAAAAAAAGTAAAATAAAATACTTAGAAATAATATTTAACCAAGGAGGTGAAATATAGGTATACTGAAAACTATAAAACACTGATGAAAGAAACCGAAGAAGACATAAATAAATGGGAAGATATCCCATGTTCACAGATTGGAAGAATTAGTATTGTTAAAATGTCCAAAAAACCCAAAGTAATCTCAGATTCAATGCAATTGCTATAAAAATTCCAATGTTATTTTTCACAGAAATAGAAAAAAGAAATCCTAAAATTTGTATGAAACACAAAAGACTTTGAATAACCAAAGCAATCTTGAGCAAAAAGAACAGAGCTGGAGGCATTATATTACCTGGTTTCAAAATAAACTACAAAGCCATAATCAAAACAGCATGATATTGGCATAAAAACAAGACACATGGACCAATGAAACAAAATAGCTCAAATAAATCCACACACTTATAGTCAATTGATTTTTGACAAACATACCAAGAACACACAACAGGGATAGGACAGTCTCTTCAATATATGGTTCTGGAAAAGTGGATATCCACATGCCAAAGAATAAAATTAGAACTTCATCTCACACCACACAAAAATCAACTCAAAATTGACTAAAGACTTAAGCATAAGACCTGAAACTAAAACGACTAGAACAAAGTAGGGGAGAAATTTCAAGACATCGGCCTGGGCAAAGATTTTTTGGATATGACTCCAAAAGTGCAACAAAAGCAAAAATAGACAAATGGGACTGCATCGAGCTAAAAACCTTCTGCACAGCAAAGGACACAGAAGAGATAAATGGGACTGCATCGAGCTAAAAACCTTCTGCACAGCAAAGGACACAGAAGAGATAAATGGGACTGCATCGAGCTAAAAACCTTCTGCACAGCAAAGGACACAGAAGAGATAAATGGGACTGCATCGAGCTAAAAACCTTCTGCACAGCAAAGGACACAGAAGAGATAAATGGGACTGCATCGAGCTAAAAACCTTCTGCACAGCAAAGGACACAGAAGAGATAAATGGGACTGCATCGAGCTAAAAACCTTCTGCACAGCAAAGGACACAGAAGAGATAAATGGGACTGCATCGAGCTAAAAACCTTCTGCACAGCAAAGGACACAGAGTGAAGAGACAACCTATGGAGTGGGAAACTATATATACAAACCACACATCTGGTAAGAAGTTAATACCCAAAATATATTTACAGAACTAAAACAACTCAATAGTAAGAAAAATAACCTGATTCAAAAACTGGACAAAGGACCTGAATAGATATTTCTCAATAGAAGACATACAAATGGCCAACAGTTATATGAAAAATGCTCAATATTACTAATAATCAGGAAATATAAATTAAAACCACAATGACGATATCATCTCATGCCTGTTAGTATGGCTATTATCGAAAAGACAAAAGGTAAGTGTTGGTGAGGATATAGAAAAGGGATTCCTTGTACAGTGTTGGTGGGAATGTACATTAGTTGAGCCATTATGCAAAACAGTGTGGAGTTTCCTCAAAAAGTTCAAACTGCAATATGATCCAGCAATTCCACCACTGGGTATATATACAAAGGATATGAAATAGGCATGTTGAAGAGAGATCTGCACTCCCACATTCATTGCAGCATTATTCACAATAGCCAAGATACGGAATCAACCTCGGTGTCCATCAATGGATGAATGATTAAAGGAAATGTGGTGTATATACACAACAGAATACGACTCAACCTTAAGAAAGAAGGAAATCTTGTCATTTGCAACAAAATGGATGAACCTGAAGAACAGCATAAGTCAAATAAGCAAAACAGAGAAAAATACTGCATGAGCTCACTTATCTGGGGTGTAAAAAAGTCAAACTCATAGAAACAGAATAAAATGGTGGTTACAAGAGGTTGGGGGTAGGGGGCTGGAAAGATGTTGGTTAAAGGGCAGATTTCAGTCACAGGAGGACTAAGTACAAGAGATCGATTATACATCATGGTGACTATAGATAATAATATACTGTAAACTTGAAAATTGTTACTCTCAGGGCCGGCCCGGTGGCGTACTGCTACAGTGCGCCGCTTGGGAAGCGCTCCCGCCCGAGGGTTCGGATCCCACATACAGACCGGTTCCCGCTCACTGGCTGAGCGAGGTGCAGGGGCAACACCGAGGGTTGCGATCCCGTAGCCGGTCCCAGTCCGGTATGGGGGCAACACTGAGGGTTGCGATCCGTTGCCGGTCACAAAAAAAGACAAAAAGACAAAAAAAAAAGAAAATTGTTACTCTCAGAAACTTTTTGAAATACCCTTGAATATATGGGACTGAACAAGAGCAAGGATGATCTGAAAATGCAGAAAATATCTGTAAATTTTGCATATGGCTTTAGAATGCACAGTTTTTTTCCCTACAATAGTTTGACCTTCTTTACTATATATTATTTAAAATAGTATAAACTTACACCATTATTTCATATCAAGTACATGACAATTGAGGTGGCTGAGAAGCCATAATAAATCTCCTGAATTTGAGCTATACCTCTAACACACACACACACACACACACACACACACACTCTCTCTCTCTCTCTCTCTCTCTCTCTCTCTCTCTTTCTCTCTCTCTGTCTCTCTCTCCCCCCCCCCCTTAGTGAGATAACCTGAACCCAATCAATTGTAGAACCTCATATGATTTAATGAAAAGCACATATGAAAGGAGGTAAACAGTAGCAGGAAAAAGTTACTCCATGCTAATGAAGATTTTATTATAAATTCAAAATATCAAGGCAGCAAACATGAGGTGTATTTACTAAGTGTCAGGAAGTAGCTAATTAACTTCTGCCATAGAGGCCATGGTATTGATTACTCTGTGACTCATCTACACTGTAGGCAAAGAAACCTTTACAGTGTGTAGCATGTGGCATTAAGGATGAAGATTCATGAACTTTTACTCAGAGGCAAACAGTCAAATTGAATAAAGTCATGTAGTTTCCACAGTCCAGTTTTCACATTTTCAAAAAGCAGTTAAGGAAGAAAGAACTAAACCCTCAAAGAGATTAGCCAATTCGCGTACTGGGAACATGGATTAAATTTACTATGTTTAGAAGACCCATGGGACGACTACCTTAAAAAAATAAAATCAGTGGGTTGTTGATATCAATTAAAATCAAATAACAGTATACCAGTAAGAATAAAACACACTGCACAATAGCCAAATAACCACAACCTTTAATGTCAACAGAATGCACTGAAAAGTTTACATCTACTTCCATATATTTTGCAAGGGGAAAAAATTTCTACTTATGTTTATGTATACATCTAAAGGAAACTGTTACAATTTTGTTAGGTAAAGTTTTTAACTCCAGGTAGTATGACAGTTTTAGATATCTAGGCAGAAAAAAGAAACGTAGGTTAAGTAACCTAAGGAAAGCCATGGACTCATTACTCCAGATCAAAACCATCCTGCCCCGTTGCTCACAAAACGAAGCACAGCACTTATAAAGATGAGTTGAAAGTTCAAACCAGCTTAATTCTTACTAACCCCTCCCTCCAGCCCCAGTCCCAACTTTAGAAATCACTGTGAAAATTTAACCTTTAAAATGTAATAAATAAACCTCAATAGCACTTTTCCTCCTTTTCTCTTTGAACCACACCACCACAGACCAAACTCCACTGCCAGTAGTAAACGTCGGAGGCGTCACTGAAACAGCAATGCTGAGATTAAAGATGTTCAGGGGCCAAGTGCTCGCTTCTTTCCTTTCAGGTCTTCTTCTACCTTCCAAAGGACCAGCTCCATGCAGGCTTTTGCATTTTCACTAAAATCGTGACCTCCAAATAGTACAGAACATTTAAAAAGCATGTTAGACATAAGACAACTATCTGTGGTGTTACCTACATATGTTCTCAAAATGAAACCTTCAGTTTATGGTTATAAAAAAATTAATATCACCCACTCACCAAAATATAATTAAAACCAAAAACAACTCCTAATGGTTGCTTTATAAATGTTTTACATAAATCTGCTAGACTAACAAACATCTCCATTTTTCTGTGTAACACGTCCTATGTCACATTGTCACTACCTTGTGGTGACTGGATGGCACAGCTGTGTACCACCTTTCCAGGGATGTGTAAATAACAAAGTAGCACGTATCACTAAAGGACAGAGATCTGGAAAGAAGCCAGACCTGTGGGATGCTAGAAAAAAAAAATGTCTCTAAACAAAAGAATGACGTTAGTTACAAGGTTACATGGCTTAAAAAGTGGATGGAATTTACCCAAAATATAAAGCCTACAGTTCTGGTGAGAATAGTGATATCTGAGATTAGGTGAGAAAAATTACACAGTTAACACTTCTAAAATGGCGTAATAGTTCTCACTTCTATTTTTTGTGTCTTACTCTGAGAAAACTATGGTATTATGTTAACTTTTAGAAGATTTTGTTTTATTTTTTGGTTTTGTTTGTTTTTTGGCAGCTGGCTGGTACAGGTACCGGCTGGTATACCACACTCTAACCAACTGAGCTAACCAGCCAGCCCAGGTTTCATTTCAAATAGGTTATTTTTTGTTCAGTGAAATATTTTTATGTCCATGGTTCAGGATTTATTCCAGAGCATATTACTAATATTGTACTAGAAATTCGTGCAAATTCTTCCTGAGATATTAATATTTTTAACAAAGCAGATAATGTCATTTAAAGACCCCCTGCAAAATGGATTACTGCACCATAGAATAAAATCTGCATTTTGTACAATTAATGACAAAAACAACTGATCAGAGGAGCATCCCATATCTTAAGCACCTTTAGAAACATATAACATTATAACATAATTTTAACTTGCTTAAAACGAACTTGCTATACTACTTGCATGCAGGAGGGGCACATGTCAGTACGCATGAGTACACTACCATCCTCCATTCTAAGCCAGACACCGCTAAACTGTGCGTATGCAATGATACTAACAGGCAACTGGTGCCTGTATTTGTTGTGCTTGATTAACTTGCTTAATGTTAGGTATATATCATCAGAAAAAACAAAAATAGAAAAAAAAGTTCTAGGAACAGGATATATCAACCCGGCATAAAGCAAGCACAAACATAATGACTCTACCGAATTTGAGCTATACCTCTATACAAAACACACACACACCATTACCCTCTGTGAGATAACCTGAGCCCAATCACCTGTAGAACCTTACATGGTTTAATGAAAAGCACATGTGAAAAGAGGTGAACAGCCAAATTTAGAATGGAATTAGATCTCCACAGCAACAAAAGTTTGATGCATGAATTCAAAGGCCATTCAACGTGACAAACCATGATCTGACCACTGTTCTCGGTGTGACTGCTGTTTTGGTTCGTGTGGTGCAGTCCAGGACTCCACCAGCATGGGCACATAGTGCTCTTTACTCAAACACAAGGAGATGCTTTAGGATTCTCCGCCACAGAGAACCCAGTATCTTACCCTAAGCGTTTCAGACAGTGGACCTCGACAGTGGACCTCATGGTTTGTTCAGTCAAGTCAGATACTAATCGCGAGCAAACGGGCTCTTACCATCATCCTGAACGACTCTCTGCAGGCATTCGGCCACTAGACTCCTGAGGGATCTTTTGTGAGGCAGGCCTAGCCTATGAGGAAACATAACTGATGTGTCCACAATCGAAGTATGAATTAACTGTAAAATAAAAGAGAAAAAAACCTATCAAAAGCCCTTCACAAATAACGATACTGATAGCAGCAGCAACAGCTGTCGTACAACAGCAGGTGACATGGAGAAGTTTCGGTGAGTCATCACTGGACCGAGCACGTCACACAGATCATCTCACTGCACTCAGCAGAGGAACCTGATCAGGTAGGTATTTTTACTGTCCCTTTTGATAGCCAATAAAATTGAGGCTTTGAGAGATTAAGAAACTTACCTGAGCTAAATTAGTAGAGTTGAAGGAAATCAAACAGCAGCAGTCTGAGTCCACCTGCTCCTACCATGAGAGCCCCACCCGGGGCAGCATGAGTGCAGAGAGGCTCCTACGAGGACATGGGGTAGCCCGAGTGCCAGGCTCCTCCCACCTGTGACTCAGCTGAGAGGGGACACTCCTCAACTCAGTGAGTGACATATCGCAGCCCAGTGGTTTGCCTGTCTGCCTCTGGGGAGGACGCACGGACAAGAGCTCAGTCGGATCTAGTCCCAAGTCCCCTATACTCACACGTGGAAGAAGCTGAATACATTTTTACTGAGGTTCAGTAAAGTGGGAAAAATGACAGACTATATGTGGAGGGAGAAGGGTCAGATAATCTGAGAGCCCAGGAAGTCAGATATCAGTTTGGATTCCTGCATTTTGAAAGGAACATCTGAAGATTAGCCTGAGGACAAGAGTAATTCAAGGAGTAATGAGGAGTCAGAAATTTAATGTGTAGTACCTACCATGCCATGCCTGATGTAAGCACTTTAAATTCTCCTTCACTGTGTCAGCCACCACACTAGGCACCCGTGCTGGAAGCTGCTGCGGGCCTCGGACAGGAGGAGGGGGAATAGGGTCCTCTCTCTGCAAACACCAGCTGGGCGAGGGCAGACAGCGCCCTGGGCACGGGGGGCACAGGGAAGTTTCAGAGCAGTGAGGGAGAGTAACACAGGAGTGAGAGCTGAGAAGAATCAGCTTGGGGGACAAGAGCGGCTTCCCTGAGAAGCTGACAGTAAAAGAAGGTGGCAGTAGAAACAGAAAAATAGTAAGATTCATGAGTCATCTGGACTGAAGAAACAGACTGATTACAAGGAATGAAAAAACGTGATGATCTGAAATTTTCTGTTCTGGGGGACAGGCAGAACAGAATTGTTCCTGAGAAATTAGAGACAGGAAAGTCACGGTGAGAGGTCCAGTTTGGGAGGTGATGTCTGAAGTAATATCCCTGTGAGCAGCTTTCTTATGGAAAACTTATTATGTCCCCAACTCTTTTTCCACAGTAGGGTAAGATTCGCCTGGAAGCATACTCCAGTCTTATCTGGCACATGCAGAGAAAAGACTGCCCTTTGAAACAAATATACACTGCATACCAGCTTTATAGAGAAAAAGACTGACATTCACCTATGAAAATAAAATGGCCTTGTATTCTCGCACTGAAGTAGAGATATACCTCCCCTGCCTGAGGGTAAGACCTAGGGCTAGCTGAGACAAATACTCAGTAAAGGTCCCCAAAGTTCTAGAGTTGTACTGTGCAATGTGGTACCCACATGTGGCTATTTAAGTTTAGTTAAAATTAAACAAAATTTAAAATTCATTTCCTCAGTCACATTAGACACCTTTCAACTGCTTTCGTGTGCCCAGTGGCCACCATATTGGATAGCAAAGATATAGAATAGAAAGTTCTGTTGGATGGCACTGTTTTACAATGGAGCAGGCAAAGTTAGAGTGCCAGGTCGTAAATATTTTCAGCTTGCAGGTCACATGACCTACATATTACAACAGGTTTCCTCTGTCACAACTACTCGAAAATGCCACTGTAGTGTGAAAACAGCTAAAGAAAATATGTAAATGGGTGGGGTGGCTGTTACAATAGAAATATTTATAAAAACAGGTGGCCAGCCCATGGGCCACCTTTTACCTGTTTACTGATCCCTGTTCTAGAACAGAGCAAAGAACAGACAATTTTAACCTGGAGTATGTTAAGGCGAGATCTTCAAGTCTATCATGCCAAAAAAAAGGAACATAAAATTTCATTCTGAGCCCACCTATAAGCCGATGATCCCTAAGGATGTGAATAAAATAATCTGTTAGATAAACTTGGTCTTATTCATTTGAATATTAAAGAAAGTTTGCCAAAACAATGGTTTTGATTTTATCATAATTGATGATGAATTATTCTTTCTGATGTTCATTGGCCACATGATTTGAGCTGTCCTACACTGTGACAGTCTATGTTTGTGATAGTCTATGTCGTCAGCACCAACAATGGTTTTGATTTTATCATAATTGATGATGAATTATTCTTTCTGATGTTCATTGGCCAAATGATTTGAGCTGTCCTACACTGTGACAGTCTATGTTTGTGATAGTCTATGTCGTCAGCACAATGATTGTCTTCTTGGTTAACAGGGCAAATCAAACATCAATTATAACACAATGATAATGACTACCATCTTAACACATACAGTTTTATAAAAATATTTTTTTTTTGTAAAAAACATGTTGGCCTGTAATTCTTTACCTTAAGAGCATACAGACTGTGTTCAAAGTTATGTCCAATTAGTACAGTGTCAGCACTAAACAGGTTCAACAAGACGGCTTGCACATCAATATTTTTTTTTTGTAAAAAACATGTTGGCCTGTAATTCTTTACCTTAAGAGCATACAGACTATGTTCAAAGTTATGTCCAATTAGTACAGTGTCAGCACTAAACAGGTTCAACAAGACGGCTTGCACATCACGGATTGATGTTTTAGTGTTCCTCAAGTCACCTTCCACCACACCAGAAAACCTACGCCAAGGAAACACATTATGCACATAAGTAAAGAATATAACTCAGTGAATTCCAGTTATAATTAGAACACATTATTGACCCAATGTGACAAACATTAGCTGAATAAAACAATGATCTTACTTGTATGACTGTCAACTATCCCTTACTAGGTTACATTGGTAACCTAGTGAAATTTATAATTTAGACCAAAAACGTGAGGCTGAGGGGCAAACACATTACTACAAGTTCACAGGGTTACTGTTGAACTCTGATCTTTGCATGACCTGAGTTTTATCAAGGACTCATACGATTTAGTTAAGTAGCCTATCTCTCAGCAAAATACGCCTAAAGATGAAATGGTAGCATTAAAGAGCAGATGGAGCCCTAGGAAAAGTACAGACAACCTGGGTCTGAACTATGACCACTATGACGATGCCATTTACTTACTACATATTATTTTCAGCAAGTAACAACCTTCTGGTCTCAGTTTTCTCATCTGTAAAGTAGGGATAACCACCAATCTTTCTGGTTTATGAAGACCTGATGAAAATGCATGCAGGAAACTGACTACTATAGTGGCTTCCGTAAAGAACATACTATATAAATGGTTAGAAACATGGCTAGCACGAAGAAATACTGCAAAGTATTTTTAACTTAAAGTATATGGTGATATTATCTTCTGCAAGGAACAAAAGATACCTGTTCCATCATCTGGCATAATTGGGAAATGTGACATATGGTTAATTAAGTATTTGGATTAAGAGGACATTATCATGAATGGACTGCACAGGTTCACTGAAAAATATTTTTAAAGAATATAATGCATTGAATGCATTTGAAGCTTTTTTTGAGATTCAAAAGTTCTTTTACTTATAATGCAAGTCCTTCAGTTCTCATTTTGCCATTATGAATATCAATGATTACAAAAGTGTTTTCTGACTTATTCCAAAAATAATTAGGGAAGATCCCATTAAACCCATGAAAGAATATGAACCAGTAAGAGTGCAATAGATGGAGACATTAGGACATGGCCAAAATGAGTATGGGAAAAAAAATCAAATGAGGTCGAGAGAGGGATTAGTACACAAAATACATATTCTGGTAACAGTTGCCTCTTCTGAGTTTTTATGAATACAACCATTATTTTGAACTGAGGGAGTTTGTTAAAAAATGCTAACAGAATTCTCCATAATTATTTCTTAACAGTTATCACCAAAACAACTTTGAATTTATGTGATCACCTTGCTTTATTGTGTTCCAAAATTACTTATATGTATATATGTGAATGTACAAGTCATATTTGTTTACTTATACAATCAATTCACATTTTAAATGCCATTAGAGAATTTGTTATTTAAGGAATATTGAACAATAAATACAGTCATTCCAGTAGTAATCACTTCTACACGTTCACTCTAGAATAAGGTCAGTGTCTTCCATTTTATATTTAAATAAATAAGTAAATATGTCATGTCATATGGCTCACAGGCCTTTAGGAGACCTAACTTAAAACTGATCAGTGATATCATTGGTGTTTTCACATGAGGTTTGTAAAAATTAAAGCACATCTATATTGTACTACCTCAAATTAGCTTTGAGTTTGGATTAGAAATATGTCATACTTTAATAATAATAATTAATAAAATTGAAACTGCACTGAACAGTTACTCTGCATATCATATCAAAGCTATGTATACTTGGTGTTATGTCTACAAGATTACAGAAATTTTTACCTAATGGGAATATGGTATTTTGAGAAGGAACTATTGAATAACTGAATGAATGAATGAATGAGTGAATAAAATAATTTATTCACTGTTTTGCCTGTTTCTCTATCCTCCCCACCCACCACTCTGACATGTAAGCACCATAAGGGCTGAGGCCTTCTCTTTTATTTAGGGTTGTAACCCAGGGCTCAGCACAGCATCTGCATCATTTTAGTAGGTACTTGATAAAATATGAATGTTTTTGAATGAATGAATTAATTAATTAAAAGAAAACCATCTAACTCATGTTCTAAAGTTGACTCTAATAAAAGTACTTCAGCTAAAAGTTCACATAAACTGTGTTCAATGTTCCACAATCTCAAAAACAAACCCTTTTTAAAAAATTCATACCTAGTGTTATAGTCAATGACTTCTTCATCTGGTTTCACAAATGTGTCATAGACCACCTGGAGGCTGGCATCAACCACGGTCACTTGGGTAAGCTCCAAGCCTTTGGCTGTGTAGCACTAGTCAGGGGGAAGTATTGCATTTATGTATCATATTGAGTAAACATTTTAACATCTGGGATATCTTCAAGTAATATTTCTGACTAGAATATACAATTGAATCACATCATCCAGTTTTGCTAACAAAGGCCAGTCAGTGGATCTGATAATCATGTAAAAAATTTTCAAGCTTTAATTTTTTCCTTAATGTTAGCAGTATTTCTGCTAATAAAATCATTTCATTTTCTTGGCTTAGTCTTTACAGTTTTCATTAGAGACCAGCACTATCCAATAAATAAAAAGTTCTGTGATGTTAAAATGTTCTATTTATGTTCAGTTTAAGAAAGTAGCCACTAGCCACACGTGGCTATTGAGCATGGGAAATGTGGCTAGTGCAACTGAGGAGCCGAATTTACTTTATTTGATTTTAATTTATTTAAACAGCCACATGTGGCTAGTGGCTACTCTGTGGACATACAGCAATAGACCCTGTTGAACAACAACGAATAGGATATCCTATCTACATAAGCACGGCCTCACAGAGAACACGGCCATGATACTTAATTTCTAAGCCAGAAGCAGCATCCATTGTTTCCAGTTAAAGATTTCAGCTTGAAAACTGAACACTGTCCTTCTACATTTATTTTACGTAAACTCCACAAATCTGCTTTCCAAATACACTACAGGGAATAAAAACTGAATTACATATGTCTTGTTAAAGATGACCGCTCACACGCTTTCTGACATGGACAAAGCGCTTCCCTGCATTCTAGTGTACCTGAGTCTCAATCGCTGTGGAGTTGCCCCTATCGCTACTACCAACCTCACACTTCACAGCTTAGAGCACCCGAGAGTCTTGCTCAGGAGGTCACTGCTGGCAAGAGGTGGAGCTCCCAGGTCTTGTCATTCCAAATTCTGCTCCTTTCTCCCCACTCTTTTAGTATTAATTCTCATATGAAGGAAGATAAATCCCTATAAAAGATTTTACTGTCTCTATATGCAATAATTTTTAAGAAGTATTTATTAACGCTTTTATGCTGATTTGGGGATAACAGAAGGATTCGTAACGTTCTCCACCTACACGATTTCAGCAATTTAATGAGTAAAACAACCACTGATTACACATAAAAAGAAAGTAACAAGTAAAAAGGGGATCGTGGGCCAGTTCCTGACTCCATCAATTACTCGGTGAATGAAGTTGACCAAGTCACCTAACTCTTCCAGCTTCAGTTGCTTCATCTGAGAGTGTGTGGACAAACACTGCCGAGCTATGAGGGATTGAGAGATAAGGCACTGGAAAGCTTTACACAAGGCAGAGTGGTGTATAACCATTTGATCATAATTAGGAAAGAAGGTAAAATATAAAACCAACGTACCACCTCACAATTTACTGCAAACACACCAGGACTACCATCAGCAGGTGGGGCCTTGAGAAAAGTTGTCACAAAGCCCTCTAGGTTTTCTTTTTGGTTATGAACATGAAGCTGAAAGAAACATTGCCAAATAATGTTTTCTGTAAGTGCAATTAAGTTCATAAAAATGTTATCAACTGAAAATAACAATTTTTCCAAAGCTTGTTAATCACCAAGGCCTATGTTGGAGGCGGCAACTCAAGTTCAGAACATTATTAGTTCATACAAAAATATTTCTTACCTTGAAATATATCCTAAACCAATATTTAATTTGGAAGAAGTAGGAAAAAATAAAGGTATGTCATATTTTTTAATATGGTTAGACTTTGTGATAAAAGTAGACCATTATCTATCATCTAGGCTATATAATTAAGATAAAGTTAAAATGAATCAATTTCTGAATGATTTATACCTACATTTATAAGCAAGGTAAAACCATGAAAATTTAGTAACTGGTCATGAATAATAAACATTCAAAAGTTATAAATTTATATATCAAAGAGCAGATTGATTTCTATTTTTCTAAAGAGGAATATAAAAATAGAGTGGTAAGTATATAAGATAGAAGTACTCATAAAGGAAATAATGTATTGATTTGAGATCTTTGAAATTAGAAGTGTTCTGGGTGACAAGTCCTACCTTGGCAACCTGACACCCAGGGGATCCAAGCATACCTCCACAACAGCTATATCGAGATTCTAAGCCACTAAGCACTGCAAAACAACCAAAAAATAAAAATAAAAACAAGCAAGCTTTTTAAGGCACAGTGGCTAACTCCCAAAAGCACGTGTCTTATCTTACCCTCAAAGACCTCTAACAACTCCACAGTGTAAGTATTCTAAAGTTACCACTCTTTGGTTACTTTTTTAGATATTACATGATGCACAGAAAAAGCCTGCTCCTGTAAGCAGAGTTCTCAGGAGCTGTCCTTTGTAGGTGAGCTATAATTGCCAGTGTCATAAACACCTTTCTTCTCCTCTTTCACCCATCGTTTGCCTGCTCCATCAGCTCCCCTTTGGCCTCACTTCTTTATCCTGCTTTAATTCCATGGCCAAACCCCTCAACCACCTTTTCAAAATCTATTCATACTTCTTGGAACCCTCTGGATGACTGGTTCCAGCTACCACCTTCTCCCTTCCTGTATCAAAGTTTTTGATCTGACCCATGAAAAATCACCCACTTATGTAGACAGACTACAACACAGACGTTGGCTCCAACCTTGGCTGGACCTCAAATCCCGATGCCCTCTTCCTCTGTATCCCTGGCCAAAGCACAGCACATTCTTCACAGCAATAATCCCAAGATTACTGCTGTGGATTGAACTGCGTTCCCCAAAGTCCATGTGTTAGAAACTTAACCCCTATTGTGACAGTGTTAACAGGGTGGGAAATCCTACTACAGTAGTTGAAAAGTGGGGCCTTGAAGAGGTGATTAGATTGTGAGGACCATGACCATAACCTAGCAAATGGATTAATAATGACGGTTTAATGGTGGCCATGGGTGTGGTTCCGAGGGCTTTCAAGGAGAGCATGTGAGGCGGTTAGTGCCTCTCTTGCTGCTCCCTCTCTCTCTCTCAACGTGATACCCTGCACCGCTGAAGTCACCACCAAAGCAGGCCCTCGCCATAAGTGTTTCCTGGACTTTTGACTTGCCAGCCTCAGAACGGTAAGCAATAAATTTCATTTTCTTATGAGTTGTCCAGTTCCAGGTATTTTGTTATAAGCAACAGAAATTGACCAAGACGACTTTGTATCTCTTTTCTTAGTCCACTCCCATCGTCTGTCTCATCTATGCCCTTATCAACCTGAGCCTTCTTCCTTCTGGCCCAAGGTAATATTCTCCCAACTGTTCCCTAACAAATCCCTTGGCCTCCAATGGTTTCTGCACTAGTCTTCATATAAAACGTGTTTTTTTCATTTTCTTAAAGTGCATTCTCATTGTATCACTTGCCTTAAGTGATCTGCTTGAACTTTAGGATCAAAAGCAAATTTCTGAGGCCGGCACTGAAGGCTCTTTCTTAACCAGCTCCACAGGGCAGAAGGACCCTGCAGTGGTCCAGCACACAGACCAGGGTGATTAGGACTTGGGGCAGGCAGTACAAGTGGAGAGGGAACAGGTTTGGGAGGTTTTTGAGGTAGAACAAATGGGACTTGCGCAACCCCTAGAGGAAAGGGGGCATAAAAAAGGAGGCAAGCAGGATGGCGTCCAGGTTGCTGCCTTGAGTGGGGAAAAAAACAGACCTGAGTGAACCATAGGGAATTTACTGTGCTGGAGAAGACCCAGGGTGGGAGAGGAATCAAAGGTTCATCTTCACTCAATATGCTTGAGTGAATATGGGAAACCCACATATGGATAGACAGTTGGATTCAGCAAAGCCTGGAGTCTAGAGGAAAAGTTTCTTTAGGGATACATGTTTAGGGGATAACAGCAATTAGATGTGTCTAAAGTCACAAGAAAGGATGAGTTCATCTAGGGAGAAGGGGTGGAGGAAGAGAAGAGGTTCCCAGAACCAAGCTCTGAGAATTCCTGCAAACAGAGGTTATGACGAGGAATTTTTGGCAGAAGAGGTTGAAAAGAAGTAGCTAGAAAAGGAGGAAGAAATGCAGAAGTGTGTGTTGTTACAGAAGCTGACAGAGGAGGGCCGGCCCAGTGGCGCACTCGGTAGAGTGCGGCACTTGGGAGCACGGTGGCGCTCCTGCTGAGGGTTCGGATCCCATATAGAGACTGGTCTGCTCACTGGTTGAGCGTGGTGCGGGCATGACACCGAGGGTTGTGATCCCATTGCCGGTCGCGGTACGGGCACGACACTGAGGGTTGTGATCCCATTACCAGTCACGGAAAAAAAAAAAAAGTCAAAAAGGAAAAAAAGAAAAAGAAACTGACAGAGGAGAGTACTGTAAAGTAGGATAATGCTGGACAAATGAAGTGATCAAAAACAGGTCTGTTAGGGGCCGGCCTGGTGGCGCACTGCTATAGTGTGCCACTTGGGAAGTGCGGCGGCGCTCCCGCTGAGGGTTCGGATCCCACATGCAGACCGGTTCCCGCTCACTGGCTGAGCGAGGCGCGGGAGCAACGCCGAGGGTTGCGATCCCATTGCCGGTCCCGGTC